AGTTTGCCTGTCAGCACAAAAAAAACCGTGGATGAAGCTTCGGTGTCAATGATCCATCAATCCATTTTGGGAAGCGCCACGCGTTATACTTCCACCCAAAGTCGTAGTGGTCCTCTGAGTGCATTCAGCCTATTTGATGAGTTTTTGGAGCTGACCGAACTGCTGATCGATGCTGGTCAATGCTTTTACCAATCTAGACAAGTGGGGCACCAAATTATCAGCCATGTACGGGTGGACCGTTTGGTTGGGCCATTTTTTCTTTTGATCTCTAGGGGCTCGTGTGGTAAGCAGCACCAACTGCAACTGCAGTTCATCAGCTTCCACTTGACTTCCTATCTCACCAACCCCGCGAAGAATAAAAATTTCAAAGTTTGTCACCCTCTAATGACCAACCCTTTGATTGTCCACGAACGGCAACTGCCTAACTAGATCCCATGCTGCCCGAATCCTTTGTTGCAGTACCGTTGTACGTTGTGCAAGCATTGCTGCCATTGTACCGAAATTGGTGTTGGTGTCATTAGAGGCAACACCTATGCCGTAGACGTCCGAGGCGAAGGCTACATAGCCGAGCTGAAAGAAATAGTTCACATTGACTGGATTTCATTACCAATTCTGGCTTTTCATCGAACCGGATGGTACGCAAGTTTACATTCGACAACAAATCATGTATTTGAAGTTGTTTTGTTGCGTCAACTGCTGTTTAACGCCGTAGTTCGCGCTTCGGAAATTGAACAGACACCTCATGCTTTTCGAGCTAGTGCGATATCCGTTACGGCCCTTCGGGCGTACCGGATAGTGCGCTCACTATTAACTTTACATGTAACATCTCACAACCACAGTTCTCCATGTGCACTTTTTTTCAGCTCGCGCGCCTACTGGAAAACGTGCACTTGGGTTTGCAGAGTTTGGCAAAATTCTTCAGTTCGTGTTTCTAGAAGCACTAGCAACGGTTTATATTGTGTTCATTAGCACTGACCTCCCTATTCAAAGAAGCTCACTACAGTCCTCATCATTACGTACTGTCGGGGCGGTTCAGTGCGGCTGCGTTTGGCGCGGTGCCAAACCCGCTCTCCACCAGTATTTAAAGCGAGCAAATGATATGACTGTATTATATCCTCCGTATTACTCGTTTTCTACCACTTTTTGTCGCATACGCGTTTCAACAAAAAGGCTGAGAACGGCTTCAACAGTGTGCACACTCATACTGGCTGACACGCCCCACCGGTCCGCAATGATGAGGACTGTATCTCATTTCCAAAATTGACCTAACTACGACCCTCGCCGTTATCCTCGCTTCTTCGTACCCGCTTACAGAAGTTTGCTACAGTCCATCTTTTATTCCCCATTGTCACTCTTGTAATGAATCTTTTCTTACCTTTGATGGTGCCGACGCTGATACCGCAGCTGGAAGGCAAAAATCTCGCAGTAGGAGAGGTGCGCGTCATGTGTGTGAAAGTACAGGAGCCACTTATTTTGTGTAGAACCACAGAAAAACTAATGAACTCTGCAGAAGGTCCTTGAGGCGGTAAAATGTCACACTCTATGTAACCAGAAGTTAATGAGGGCTGAAACTAAAATTCACCCATAGCTCCTCCCTACCGCGGTACTGCAAAGCTCCTCCCTTTCGAGTATTGGGTTGGCACATAAGTACTTTCGTTTTTTTTCAACCGGAAATTTCGTTCCAAAGATGAAATGTTTTGCTAGCAAGCTTGATATCATCTGATAGGAAACTTCACGTAGTTTTAGAATATCAAAACGGCTTTGGTTGAGGGAATAATTTTTGTGGATTTTTTAGTCGTTGAAGTTGAAAGCGAAGTCGGCGAAAATTAGCACCTTCGACAACTGCCTCTATTTACGTATAGTCGAAGTGCTAAAATCGCTTAAGCTGCTCCATACATTTGGAAAAGGTCGAGCCTAGAAGTTCCAGCCAGGGAATCTCACTAGGACGCTTTGGAACGAATTTCAAGAATTTTGAAGTTACCAACCTTCACCTCGCCGATATTGGGCAGCTCACGTCTGTTCCACCTGAAATTTTATGCTAATATTTGAATGTTTCGCTGATATGTTTTGCATGTTCTGATAGCAAATTTCATGCTCTATAAACTACTATAGAAATCTGTTCTCCAGAGGTGTTTGCTTTCTGTTA